CCATGATTCTCAGATCTAAGCCTCCTGAGTAGCTAGGATTATAGGCGTGAACCATTGGTTCCCAGCTTCTAGTTGTTTTATTTTTTGAATGCGGTGAAATATTCCTAATGCATAATTTACCAGTTGAATCATTTTAAAAGGTACTGTACAGCCAGGTGCTGGTGGCTCACGCCTGTAATCCTAGCTACTCAGGAGGCTGAGATCTGAGGATTGAGGTTCAAAGCCACCCCGGGCAGGAGAGACCGTGAGACTCCTATCTCCAATAAACCACCAGAAAACCGGAAGTGGCGCTGTAGCTCAAGTGGTAGAGCGCTAGCCTTGAGCTGAAGAGCTCAGGGACAGTGCCCAGGCCCTGAGTTCAAGCCCCAGCCCTAGCAAAAAAAAAAAAAAAAGAGGAGAAAAGTTTAAAGTTACAGAACTTTCAGAAAAACGTATAGCTTTAAACACTTCCATTAGAAAAGAAGGAAGGCTTAAAGTCAATGACTCTGAAGATATAAAATGAATATCAAAGTCAACCCGAAGTAAATCAAGAAAATGTAAATCAAGATAAACAAAATTAAAGGCTGCAATTAGAAAAATATAAATTCAGTCACATCTGAATTCATGTGGAGTCCAGGAAAGAGAACCTAGTAATAATAGGTAATCACTTCCTTCTTACTTCTTGTGGCTTTCCCTACCTTATAACTGGAGAATGGTCTTGCCAGTAGGTAGCAGTACTGTCACTCAAAAACCCAGGTTATCACCTTGCCTTTGGCTACTTCTAGTGGAGCCCCAATTGTCCTCCAGCCCAAACCAAGTCATTACTAGACTAGACAGGAATCACCTCCAGAAAGAAAATCCCTACTCAAATTTAGTACAAGAAAAAAGGGGATGTCATAAAAACATCAAAGCTCTACATCTTTGTGGAAGTGGAGCTTGAAAAACATGGCCTTTTACAATAGAGGAATCCTGCAGACAGGTTTCCCTGACTCAGAAATGCCCTTCCCCCACCAGGCACACCTGAACTCTCTCCTTCCCTCCCCTCCCCTCCTCCTCCCCTCTCCTTTTTCTCTCCACCCCCCCTCTCCTTTCCCCTCCCCTCTCTTTCTTTCTCTCTCCGCCCCCTTCCTTCTTGCTTTTCTTCTTTCTGGGAAATTGTCCACAGTGGACAATGACTTAAAACACTTAAGACAATGAAATATCTCCCCCACTGCCCATATAAATAATTCTTAACAAAAATAAAACTTATTGCAAACATTAAGCCTGGCCTCTACAGGGAGGTAGTAAAGGTGCTCTAAGGGAAGATGGATGGCAGGTGGGGCAGGAAGTATGTAAACACTTTCATAATTTGTGTTCATTCTTGTCATTGCTGTGAAAAGTGTGTGTGTGTGTGTGTGTGTGTGTTGGAGCCAAAAGGGAGCAACTACATTTTGCTTCTGTCAGTTATGGGTCTTGAATTCAAGGTCCTGAGCTTTTTTTTTACTCAAGGTAGCTCTCTACTACTTTGAGCCACAGCTCCACTTTTAGTTTGTTTGTTGGTTAATTGGGAATAAGAGTCTGACTTTCTTACCTAGTTGGGATCCTTAGATTTTGGCCTCCTGAGTAGCTAGGATTACAGGGGTGAACCACCAGCATCTGGCTAAGCAACTACATTTTTGAGGGCCCACTGTGTCCCAAATGAGGTGATTTTCATAAATGTCTTTGATCTTTGCAGCAATCCTCCAAGTTCGATGCCAACATCCTTAATATTAGTCTCTCAATCCCTTGAGAGGACTTAAGAGAGAGGGGCCTTTTGTAGTTCTGGATCTTAAGTGGATGCACACAGTCTATTCCTTTATAGCCAACCTTTCATGCGATTTCTTTTGTTTCAAAAAATCTTTCCCTGCCTGTAACCCTAGCTGCTCAGGAGGCTGAGCTCTGAGGTCACCTTTGGAAGCCAGCTGGGGCAGACAAATCCTAATGCTTCTTATCTACAATCATCTCACAGAAAGCTAGAAGTGGAGGTGAGGCTCAAGTGGTGGAGTGTCAGTCATGACTGAAAAATCTCAAGGACAGGGGCTGGGAATGTGGCTTAGTGGTAGAGTGATGGCCTAGAATGCATTAAGTCCTGGGTTCGATTCCTCAGCACCACATAAACAGAAAAAGCTGGAAGTGACTCTGTGGCTCAAGTGGTAGAGGGCTAGCCTTGAGCAAAAGCAGCTCAGGGACAGTGATCAGGCCCTGAATTCAAACCCCAGGACTGGAAAAAAAAAATCTCAGGGACAGCACCCTGGGTCCTCAGTTCAAAACTTCGACCAGCACAAATAAATACAATCTTTCCTTTGCAAATGGCGTTTCATTTGTTAGATGCATTTCTTTCCATCAAGGTCACAGCATTAGCACAGGACTCGGGGCAGGAACTGGTATGACTCCAGGCCGAGCGCAGAAGCCACTGCGGGACCTGGTTGCTGGCTTAAGAGGTGTGCAGGAGCTCCTGAAAGGTTATGGCAGGAGAAACGCAGCCGGGATTCCCGCGTGGAGGTACAAACCGTGGGAGCGGGGCCTGACCCACGTGACCACCGCCATCCGGATCGCCCGGGTCCTACGGGGAGAGGGCCCCGCCCACAGCCAGAGGCGGCAGGCTAGAGTCACCGGGCCTAAGGTCAGGACGCAACCGGAGCCCCGCGTGCTGTGCGTGGTACTCAGGCGAACCTGGTATCGGGCCACCGCTGTGCTCCCGTTCTGGTCCTGGGTCGCAGAACTGCGTGAAGAAGGATGAGTCCCTGGGACAGATTCACGCCCCTCACTGGGGCGCGCAGCGCGCGGCCGCCCTGCCCCTGGGGGCGTGGTGTCCCTGCCAGCCCCGCCCCGCGCCGCGCCGCGCCCCCGGACCCCGAGCCCGCTCTACCTTACTGGGGTGGCGCCGCCTAGCTCGCGCGCCGGTGCGTGCACTCGGGTCCCCCCTGGCCAGCGGGCTTCAAACTGCTCCCTGCAGGCGACAGGAAGCCCAGACCGTGGTTTGCCGCCAGCCCCCGCGGCATCACGGAGGGGACCTGGGGCTCTCGCCAGCCTGCGCCGTTGGCGTTTGGAGGACTGATTCGTAAGCTGGAGCCGGACCCTCCCGCGGGGCCTTGGAGGGGGACCTCGGGGCGCTTTCGGGGAGCGGCCACTGTCTGACCGCCGCTCGTCCGCGCACGGGGAGCGGCTTTAGCGTCACTGCAGCGAGGGTGAGGGAAAGACAGGCGAGTACGACCCAGCGATCTGTCCGGGTCCACTTAGCCCTGCAGGAGCCCATGCGGGGAGTTTCAACGGCGACCCTGGCCAACAGATGAACGTTTCCTTCCCTTGGTCAATTTTCTTACGCTTGGAATTGTGTGTAGTCCTCGCCTTCTCTTCTGAGCGCGGAGGGGGCTGACTATTGCACTCATCAATCGGTGTTTTTCACCTCTGCACATCCCTAGATCTGGGTAGAGGGGTTCCAGGCTTGCCTAAGCGCTCTGGGACTCGGGACGGTGGGGTCCAGGAGGGTGTGCCCTCTTTCCAGGACCCCTGATCACATCGCCGGCCCTCTTCCACCTCTGGCCATGTATAATGGACAACTGAGAAGATGGCCTAATAGAAACATTTCTGAGCACGTGCAGCCTCACCAGTGTTCCTCTGAGGTTTGGTGGGGCTACGCCTTCTACCGGGGCGGGAGGAGCCGATGGGGCTGGGACCGCACCAGGCCTGGCTTCTTGCTGCCACCGTGTGGCGACTGCATATTTGTTACAGGGCTTCACCTCTTCACATGACCATATATAGATAGATAGACAGGTAGGTAGGTAGGTAAATATAGTTATTTTTTTTGATAAATCCAACATCAACATACCAATAGGATATGTGGCTTTTAATGAGGTCTGTTTCTTCTTTTGAATCTGTCGCGAGGCCTCTCCATAGGTTATTTTTCCCTCCCTCCTTCCCTCCCTCCCTTCCTTCCTTCCTTCCTTCCTTCTTCCCTCCCTCTCTCCCTCCCTCCCTCCTTCTCACCTCCTTCCCTCTTTTTGGAGCCACCAACAACCTTCTACACTCAATAAAGTATTCTAGGACCTCAAAGAGGTTCCTTATGTGGGTTAATGGAGATGTTAACAAAACAGAGGAATATGCAAGCAATCAAGAGCTGAGGCTCATGCCTGTAGTCCTTAACTACAGAGAGATCTGAAGATTGTGGTGTGAAGCCAGCCCCAGCAGAAAAGTCTTCGAGGTTCTTATCTCCAGTTAGCCATCAAAAAGCAACACGTGGGGCTGAGAATGTGGCTTAGTGGTAGAGTGCTTGCCTAGCATGCAGGAAGCTCTGGGTTCGATTCCTCAGTACCATATAAACAACAACAACAACAAAAACCCCAGAAGTGGCACTGTGGCTCAAATGGTAGAGTGCTAGTCTTGAGCAAAAGAAGCTCAGGGACAGTACCTAGGCCCTGATTTCAAGCCCCAGGACTGGCATTAAAGAGGGAGGGGGGGTTGTGCCTCTCCCATCTTGTCCATTGATAAGCTCTTCTGAAAAGCAAATTTCACTTTCTGCCATGTACAGAGCCTTGCATGGGTGTCTGTGAGTCTGTGGACTCTCCCTTCTGGTGGCTCATGCTTTGTATTTGGGTTGTGCACCCTATGGCATTTTTGGCCTGTGCTTATCCCAGTAGGGAACTCTGGCCCTTTAGTTGGCAGTATTTAGGGAGGAAAAGAAAACCAAGGGAAAGATACCAGTCCCGGGAGGAATAATAAGACAATACTTAGTGCCCTTTGACCTAGGAAGTTTTAGTGGACAGAAAGAAACCACCACCTCCACATCAGAATCTGGATTTCCAACAAAAAACTCCCCCTCAAACTCTTTATTTTAGGTCAGAAGAGAAATAAAATTCACACTTACTACCTTTAAGTCAAATGAATAAAAGAAAACAGTTCATTGGGTTAACAACAACAACAAAAAAGGTCAAATGAAAGTAACATTGTTCTGCTCATATTTAGATGGTCGTGGAAGATGTCTGGATTGGCTGGCACCTTTTCCTTCACTCACTCAGCTGGCAGAGCAAAGCTGATCCCTTGGCAATCCAGTAGTCGCTGGGGAGCTTGGATGGTAAGAGGACTGTCACCACGAAGTTGGTTGAATGGCCTAATTAAGGAGGCAGGGTAGAAAAGGAGTTCTTACTTTAAGAATAACCTTCCAGGGGGCTAGCAAGGTGGCTCAGAGGTAAGAGTGATTGTCTTGCATGCATGAGGCCCTAGGTTTGTTTTCTCAGCACCACATAAGCAGAAAAAGCTGGAAATGCACTGTGGCGCCAGTGGTAGAGTGCCAGCCTTGAGCTGAAGAGCTGAGGGATGGTGCCCAGGTCCAGAGTTCAAGCCCCATGACTGACAAAAAGGAAAGAAAAGAAAAGAAAAAAAAATAACCTTCCAGGGCTGGGAAGGTGGCTCAGTGGTAGAGTGCTTGCCTAGCATGCATGAATCCCTGGGTTTGATTCTTCAGTCCCACATAAACAGAAAAAGCCAGAAGTGACACTGTGGCTCAAGGGGTAGAGTGCTAGCCTTGAGTGAAAAAGCTCAAAGATAGTGCCTAGGCCCTGAGTTCAAGCACCACCACTGACAAAAAAAAAAAAAAACCAAAACCCAAAACAAACAACAACAACAACAAAAACTTTCGAAGCAGAGAGACAGGTATGGAGAGTTGAGACATCTGATGGCTTCTATGACCTAGCTGCCTCAAGAGACGTTAGTTCCAGTTTTCTTTTGGATTCAGATAAATTAATTAATTTAGTGCCAGTCTTGGGTACTAACTTCATAATATCCACACTCAATATTAGAACAGATACAATGTATAAGCTGGCTCCCAAACTCCCTTGCTGTACCGCAGAGTGATTTGGCTTTGATTGGCGTGTATCTTGGTGATCGTATGAACTAATGGTAAGAACATCCTCACCTGTGGTAGAGAGTGTTCCTGCGCGGGCCCCTGTTTTATACAGCGGGGAGTGGTAAAGTATATGGGATGGCTCATAGTTTTGTTGTGGTTCAAAATGCAACACAGGCAGCATTGGATTCATCTGTCCGGGCAACGCATCTTCTATGACCATGTCATCATCATCCCAACGGGACGCATCCATGAACATCCCATGGACAAGAACACCATCCTCAGGAGAAGGCAGCTGAAAGGTACCCAAGAGTTTAAAGGGGAAGAAGAGCAGGCCATCATCTATGTCCTGGGTCCTCTCCAGGTAATTCTAAAACCACTGAAGTTACAGTTCTTATAGGTCAGAAAGGGGCACCTCAAGGTAGATAACTTGCTTCTTAGTTTGGTACCAAATCTCAGGCTTTTCACAATCCACGAGGATGCCTAAAAGAGGAGACCCTGGAAACTCTTTCAGGGGCTTCAAACTATTTGATATCATTATGTAATGACTTCTCCCTTTCTCCTAGGAAGAGGATGGGATAAGAGGGTTGGGATTATCATCCATTGTGATTAGCCAGGCCTTTTGTCCTGTGATCAGACGTCTCCATGATGCACCCTAGTCATCCTTCCTCTAATACTTGACTTTGGCCAATTTGGGCCTGGCACTTTGGAGAACTACAGGAGCCCGCCTCTGTGGATAGAGGGTTCAGCACTGTGGGGGGTACATGTAGTGCACTTTATAGTGAATAGATTATTTATGGCTTGTCTTTGCCTTTTGGTGTCCTGAAGTTCGGTTTCTTATGTGCAGCCAGGTGGGGTGGCCTTCCTGTTTAGGGGGCTGCTGTATACATACTTGTGTAATTACCTTGGCACCTACTTGCCAAGCCAGCGTTTTAATAACTGGCTAAAAGGGGGCAAATGTGATGACAGTAACTCTGCATAGTTGTAACAGGCATTTACTAAGTGGGCCAAGAGATGGGCCAGCAAGACCACCTGAGTCCCCTCCCATCTCAGAGAGCCCAAGGCACTGCTGAGACTTAGGATGGGTAGGGTACAGTGGCAGAGGCCCTGATGGAACTTGTAAACTTCTGTCAGTTATCCCTTGTGATAGAGTGGGGAAAAACACAGAGGAGGGCCAGCGTCTTAGAAGGCTTTGGTGAGGGCTTTTATGTGAGAGGTGTTTTATCTTCCTGCTACCTCAGTGATTTGTTTGACTAGGCCTGGGACATCCTTTTAGCCAAAAAAAGTTCTAAAGATAATGAGAAGCGCATCTCTAAATTAGTTTCCTCCTTACTTGGAAAATATTTGATGTAAAGAATTTCTTTAAAGACCTGTGGGGGCGTGGATGATATTATAGTATTTCATAGGGCAAGTGAAGAATATAAGGTCAATCTAATCTTTTGCCTGTTTTGCTAATCAAAGCAAAGGTTAGATCTGAGTTGGGTGGCTAGAGATAGAATCACCAGCAACAACCTTACATGCAAATACTGTGAATTTTTAAGGAAAGCTTAATAAAAGCCACTTATTCCAACTATACTAATTGGTTAGTAAAGACTTTCTTGGAAAAAGAAATGTGGACCAGGTCTTTGATTTTGCAGTTAGTATAGAAGGTGGTATTTGTAAGGCACACAGGTGTGTACAATCCTGTCTCAGCACAGCTAAGCTGCGCAGCTGAGACTGACAAAGGCAGACTTCAGTCCTGCATGAACAGTACACACACAGGGATCTTATAAAAATAACATCTTGCAGAGATTTTGGTGTCATCAGGGTATGTTCTGGAACTGGGAGTTTTAAAAAGAGCTCATCAGGTGATTCGAACAAGGTTGAGAATCGCTCCTCGTTTGGAGCAGCGATTCTCTAACTTTTATGGGCTTAAAAACTCCATTTAGGACTTGCTAAAATATAAACTTCTGAGCCGGGTGTGGTGGGGCACACCTGTGACCCCAGCTACTCAGGAGATGGAGGTTGGAGGACTGAGGCTCAAGACTGAGTAAAAGATACGAGACTCTCTGGAAAATACACTAAAGTCCAAAGGGCTGGGGGTGTGGCTCAAGTGAAAGAGCACTTGACTAGAGTGTGAGGCTCTGAATTCAGTTCCTAGCACTGTCAGAAACCCTGCCTCCCCCAACACTTCCAGACCCCAGCTCAGAATTTATGATTTAGAAGGTCTGAAGGGAAGTGTGGGGATTTGCACTGCTGACACCATTAGTGCAGAGATGGATAAGAATCGATGCACCAGTGGAGTAAACCAGGTAGACTGCTTTCAAAGAGTGTTGCTATTAGTTACCAACTGTGGTACAGTTGGAGAATATATGTCAGTGTATCAGTTCTCCTCGGAGGCCAGGAGTAGATGCATAGGCAAATTGAATTCTAGCCCTTCACTATTTGTACAGTATGTGGGCCACATGGCACATTCCATTCATTCACCCCACTTTACAGATGAGAACATGGAAGTGCAGGCATGTTAGCAATTGCTGTGGGGCATATAGCTGAAAAGGCGGGGAGAGTCATGAGTCAAACTTAGGCTTTCTTGGAACTCTTATTTTTAATACCTTGTTATATTGCCACTGTACGGTAAGAAAAGTCACTATAAGCCAGGCATTGGTGGCTCAGACCTGTAATCCTAGCTACTCAAGAGGCTGAGATCTGAGGATTGTAGCTTAAAGCCAGCCCAGGCAGGAAAGTCCATGATACTCCTATCTCCAATTAACCATCAAAAAGCTGGAAGTAGAAGTGGGGTACAACTGGTTTGAGTACTAGCCTTGAGCACAAAAGCTCAGGGACAGTTTCCCAGGCTCTGAGTTCAAGCCCCAGAACAGGCACACACACACACAAAAGGTACTATAAATATCTTCAAGAAGTAAAATAGCAATGCTCAGAAAAATAGTTTTATAAATTTAGGCAGTCACTACTAATCTTAGCACTAAGTGGAGAGCTTGTCTTGGGTTTATGGTAACCATTGGGCCCCTCCTGTTCCTGGAAATGGAAGGAGACAGGGAGGGGAGGGCAAGGGGGACTGGCTGCATTCTGCAGTGGTAGCTTCTTTGCCTTAAGAGTCAGGCGGACAGTACCTCCAGGTCCATGGGCAAATCTTGTCCAAACTTCACTATCTTGGCAGCCTCTATTACTGCAGCCTGATCCCGGTAGGCAGGAATCACGTGGTACTTGAAACTCAGCTCATCTATAGGCAAATTGTATTTCCGAGCATGGTTTTGAAGAGTTCCTAAAAATATGAAAACTGGAAAGCTCGATCCTTCCAACAGTAAACTCCCTCCCTGAGGCCCCTCCCCACCCCCCTGCCCACACTGCACCCCTCATTCCAATCAGGTTACTGGAGCATTAGAGAATCTCCAACAAAGAACACTCTTTGCTGAGCTACTTTATAGAGAATGGAAGTCTGCGGGTCATATGGGGAGGGGAGGACCCAAGGAACACACAGGTTCTGAGTGTTGGGAAGAGGAGAAAGAGGGTCAAGTCTCAAGTTTATTTCCCTTCCATGAAGAAGGCAAACTAGTGAGTTTGTTTCAGGGGAAGATCTGTTAAAGTTTGGGTGCTTTTTTTTTTTTTTTGTTGTTGTTAGTTGTGGTTTGAACTTTGGGCCTGGGCGCTGTCCCTGGGCTCTTCAGCTCAAGGCGAGTGCTCTACCACTTGAGCCACTGCGCCACTTCTGGTTTTCTGGTAATTGGAGATAAGAGTCTCACGGACTTTCCTGCCTGGGCTGGCTTTGAACCGGGATCCTCAGATCTCAGCCTCCTGAGTAGCTAGGATTACAGGCATGAGCCACCAGCACCCGGCTGAAGTTTGGGAGTTTTTACCCAGCTTGGTTTATATGGACTATTTGTTAAGTATTAAGAGACAAATGAAGGGCCTGGATAATTAGCATTTAGCAGCCCTAAAGTCTGGCTACCTTTGGGCTCTCTAGTCAGATTCCCCAAGGACCTGGCAGTCCTATTAACAGGCCTTTCCAAGTCATGCTATTTCCACAGCTTCTAGAAACCCCAAGTAACAAAACACCACCTTTCCCGTGGGATTTTTCTTTTTTCTTTTTTTGCTTATGTGGTGCTGGGGAATCGAACCCAGGGCCTCATGCATGCAAGGCAAGCACTCTACCACTGAGCCACCTTCCCAGCCCCTCCTGTGGGATTTTTCTAGGGACAGATCCAGTACCTGTTAGAAATCCTTGAGGAAAGAAGAAACCAGAGATCCAAAAGGACTTTGGCTGTCCTCTTCTGAGCCATAGCTAAAGGAGAAACATTATTTCATCATGTACTTTATGTGAAGTAGAGTTTGCCAAACTGAACCAAAGTCGTATTTTGGAGGGTGGGATCTAAACTAGTCCCGAGTCAGTCACCAGCCCCATTTTCTTGCCTGCCCAGTTCTTCTTCCCCATCCACCAGCTAGACTGCAAAGCTGGAGCGTGGTTACTACAGAGCCAGTGGAGAAGGGCAGAGTAAAAATACACATGTGTTATGTGGACCCATGTTGCTTTGATTTGTACCTCATAGTAGAGTCCATGCACTCAAGGTAAAATCCCAAGAATGTCCTGGAATTAAGTTGAAATGTGGGAATACAGACCGATGGAAAAACCACATCAGAATCAGTGTAAGACTTTTAAAGGGATTGCATTCTAGGTATTTCTAGGTATTTCCTTATTTTTTTTTTCTGGACTTAATCCCTCAAAGGTTGTTAGGCAGAGTTCCCTAAGAACCTCAGAGCCAGCCATAGGGTTGTATTCATCAAACCGCATAGAAATGAAGTTTCTTACATCCAGAAATGCAGTTCTAAGAATAAGATCTTTGACCCATGATGCCAGTGGCTTTAAGGATGGATAGGCTGTGTTGGACCACAGAGAAGGGACCTGGTTGTTGAGGAAACTGTTATAAACCTTTTCCATTTCTTCAGACATCACCACAAGCCCAGCAATGGCCTTATCTAGGGTTTGTAGAGAAATCTGAAACAACAAAAGAGATTGGTGGTCTTTCTAGATATAATTAACAATGTAGACGATGCTCATGAAGGGTTCCAGCCTCTTTTCATACTGTCTGCTTTGCCAGACCTTATACTCTTTTACAACATATGACCCTCTCTGCTATGGAGATGAATGAGATACAATGAGAAATAACATGTGCAACTTCTGGATCACATTTTTCAAAGGAAGCTCTTGTTTGGGGCCTTCTCTTTTCCCCTTCCCATTGGTTGGCAAAAAAAGAATAATTGGAGTAGTGAGACTAGATGCAAAAATAGACGCTATCTGTTGGGGCTCGAAGAGCCAACTTGATGAGCTGTGTGCCCTAGACAGGACTTCCTCTAGCGCTGAGGGGAGGACAAAGTGAATAACTATCTTATTTTGGATAGTATTGAGGGTACCCGAATCCATTCAAAGCAGAAGGGAGAAATCCTGACCTGGCCAGGCAGCCTGCTCATATTGATTCCTACCAGTGAAGATTTATGTTCCTAAAGTAAGGACTTCACATATTCAACTCAGTGCCCACTTATCTAACAAACCTATGATCGCCAGCCAAACTGCACATCTGTAGACTTTGCTTTTCCAACAGGTGACAGACATGGTCTTTGGCTTTGGAAAGATCTACCAAGTTTCCCAGGAGTCTTAACCCTGGCCTTAGGCCAGGTATTTGGTTCTCTGCTTAGCAGTGACACATTTACTCTTATGCTCAATATTTGATCTCTAGTAGTCTTTGTTTTTCTGTTCACAAATTAGTGGACAGAGTAAGTAGGAAATCTTTTGCCATCATCAAGGCAAGGAAATCCAGAGTCAGCATCTGGGAGCACAGGACAAACATTATGTGAAAATATAATGTGAAAACATTTCAGTTGCATTGAAATCATCTGGGGAGTTCATTTAAAATTCATACTCCCAAATCTGTCCTTAAGAGCTGGTGGCTCATGCTGGTAATCCTAGCTACTCAGGAGGCTGAGATCTGAGGATCACGGTTCAAAGCCAGCCTGGGCAGGAAAGTCTATGAGACTCTTATCTCCAATAACCACTCAGAAAATCAGAAGTAGTGCAGTGGCTCAAGTGGTAGAGTGCTAGCCTTGAGCTGAAGAGCTGAGGAACAGCGTTCAAGCCCCATGACTGACAAAAAAAATCTATTCACTCCGTTCTGGAGTGGGATCCAGGAATTTACATGTTGAACACACACTACAGAGTAGTTTAATGCAGGTATTTTGTGGCCCATCCTTTGAGAAGTATTGATTTGCATGGTCTTGGACAGATGTTGCAATTAAAGGCAAAAGACAGACATAAGGAACAGCCCCAGGAGCCCTGGCTCACTCTCAACTGCTTAGATCACCAGTGAGTCCATGGTAACTCTATGGATGTAAATTATAATAATGAGGAGACTGAGGATTTGTAATATCACATATTCCCTCAGTCACTATTAGAAACATGAAATGGGAACTTGTTAAAGGAGGGTAAATTCAATCTTAGATGAATCTAAGAGTTGGCAGTATATCTAAAAGGAAAATCTGAAATGAATAGAATGGAAAATTGCAGCACACTCATATTATTATACCATTTTCTATAAGGATTTGATAGCCAGAAGCAATGATGAAGTTAAGCTCTCATACATGTATTAACTTCAGCAGGTTATTAAACCGGTCCACTTCTTGGCCAAGAACTGTGGTCAAGGAGTTCAGGCGTCCTTGAGGATCCTTGACAAAAAGGCTTTCAACAGCACCCTCCATCTGCAGGCTCTCTGAAATACACAGAGGTCACTCCTCATCACTCTGCATTTGGGTTTAACCTTACATAACCCTCCCCCCTCCCCGCAAGCCAGTTTCCATTATTATTTAATGTGAATGCACAGAGCTTAAGTGTGACAAGCTTTCTATTACTAGAAATATTAGACTTTCTATTATTAGAGCTCTTTGGTGACTCAACTGTGTTTATATAGAAGCAATCACAGAAATCAAGCTGAACTTCATAAGTATCAGGGAGAATGTGTGTGTGTGTGTGTGTGTGTGCGTGTGTGTGTGTGTGTGTGAAGAAACACTGAACCAGCATTTCATTTCTTCCCAGGGGTATTTTCATCTTTGGTCACAGTTTGGGCTATGTGGTCTTTGGCTCTGGAACATGGGTGGATAGGTTCTTGATTACTTGTATGAGCTAAAGAGAGACTGGCCATGCTAATACAAAAGGACATATCCTCAAGGGAGAGTGGCCCTAATTTTCATTTTTCTGTGACTGAGGGAATAAAGGGAAGAAGATGAGAGGGCAAAGGACGATGTGGAAGGTCAATGTGACTTAGTGATATCTATAGATATGAGACAGGGATTTGGATCAAGCTGTCTCCATAGTGGATGAGGAGGAGAACTGTAGACCTGGAGAAGATGCACCAGGCTTTGGCTGAATGGGAGGCAGAGCCCTGAAGACCTCAGTAGCAGGTGGCATTCCAGAAGCCAGAGGGCCTAGAAGCTCTGAGTCTTCTCTTCTACCCTATTGGTGTGAACATCTTGCTCTTTTCTGTAGACCTGACTGCGACTAGGACAGGAGGGTGTGGGAGATTGAAAGTTCATGGAGACAGTGTTTATCCTAAGTTACTGAGGATTACTTTTTAAGGTTAGCTGAATTATGAGACTGGATTTAAACAGGATGGAAAAACTGGTCTCTTCTGTCTCCACACAATGTGCTCAATGGTGGGTAAAGAACCACATGAGCTATAAAAAAGGAAAGAAATGCATTTTCCTTGCATATCTGAGGAAAGTGTGAGTAAATCAGTGGCTCCAAAAATGCATGTGTCAGATTTCTTCTTAACCACTTGAATGGTGATGAAGTATGTGTTAGTACAGTCTCTTGGGTCCACAGAGCTTTGAGTCCATATGCCTTTGTCATTCCCCTCCATCATTCTCCTCAGGAGCAATTCCAAATCCTTGGTCTTTTTCTTAAGCCAGTTGCATCGCTGTCTCTCAGTCTCAGCAGATGAAGCTACATTTCATAGTAAAAGCATAAATATTATGAAGCTTGGAAAGAAAAACCTCCTGAGGAGCAATGGGACTTCATGAAGCAAGTTCACTCTTCCTGTAGCCCTCCATTCATCTATGCCTGTCTTTTCCACCAGCCAAGCACTTTAATTTATACACTCAAAATTGCTTAGAATCAATTTAATCGATTAGAAACCTATTAGAAATTGCTTCCTAAAATAAGTCACTCAGGATTTGCTTTAGAATTTTCTATCCAAGTAGACATTACTTGAGGAATGGCTTCTCAGAGACGACTAAAGCTCAATTCTTCTGAGGGCACATAGTGCCTGTTTTACTCAATTCTTCTGAGGTCACATAGTGCCTGTTTTACTCGAGGTCTGGAGAGTATTGACAGGATTTAGCCAGTTTTTTTAAAATCTGCCTTACTTTTCTTCATACTAATATGACTTTTTTTTTTTTTGTCCGTCATGGGGCTTCAACTCTGGGCCTGAACGCTGTCCTTCAGCTCTTCAGCTCCAGACTAGCACTCTGCCATTTAAGCCACAGCTTCACTTCCAGTTTTCTGAGTGGTTTATTGGAGATAAGAGTCTCATAGACTTTCCTGCTTTGAACTGTGATCCTCAGATCTCAGCCTCCTAAGTAGCTAGGATTACAGATGTGAGCCACTGGTGCCCAGCCTAATTGACATTTCTTGCAATAATGGACAACATATCTACAAATCTAGATCTATAGCTAGTCTATGAAAAGTGTGAGAGTGGATATCTTATGACTCTTCAGGAGAATTCCTTATCAGAAAACAAGGTTAAAGTAGTCTAGCCATTTCTCTTGAATAGAGGAAAAACAGTGAAATGGATTCTAGAGCATGACTATCCGATAGAATCTGTAAAGCTTTAAATGATAAGAAATGTTCTTTGCCTGTGCTGATCAATAAAGTGGCATGGAAATGTGGATAGTGTACAGAGGAATTTTATTTTAATTTTAGGAATTAAAATGAATATATCTTTTATTAGTACACATTGATTATATGACAGAAATTTACTTAATTGATTGTAAGTAGCTCCATGTGACTACTGGCTACTCTTTTGGACAGCACAGGTCTAGAGACTTTAGAATTATGAATCCAAGTGAAACTCAGGAGAAGTCTGGTTAAAATTAGGTAGGTAAGAAACCAAGTGGCTCCTACTGCTTCTGGGAGTTAGGATGTTAAGGTACTATAGGCTTCAGTTCTATAAACAGAGGAGTTCATGTCAAAAAATCTTGTCAAGGAAAGGAAAAGTTTGAACATGATCTTATCACTTATTTCTCTGACTTATTCCTTCAGTTTCTATTACCTACAGATGCCAGAAATAATTCATTACCTGGAACTCTAGACTGGATAGAAGCAACAAGTTCTTGGACAATTTCATCATTGCTTTTCCCCTCTCCACCAGAAGATGACCTTGGCTGGATCTCAAGGATGGTGTTGACCAAAGTGTTGGTCTCTTTATACTAAGACAAAGACAGTGAAGACTCAAGTTCTTAGCATGCAATTTGTAGCAGTATAGTTTACATATAGAAATGAGAAAAGTTCTTAAAAACACAAGGACACTTAATCTGCTATTAAAACTTTGTATAACATGAGATAAATACGTTCAGCATGGGGAAAGGACAGGACAAACAGTACTGTGTGTCTTCACACCCTCATGCTGTGTTGTTTAGGTGGATAGTGGACTAAGTAGAGGCTTGGAAGTGAAAGAGGCTGGTGCAGGGGAAATGCATGACCTTCCGATCCTACAATGGATCAGAGGCAACAGGTCAAATTGGAACTATTGTTAAATGTATGATGGGACAATGATTTGCTTTTTATTAGGGGTATTACAGCCCCTGGAGTTAGTGAGGTGATGATTAATGTTTTGAATTCATATCAATGACATAAATACCTATTTTAACTTGAAAGATCACACACCTGGAAAACAAGGTTGGCATTTTCATGCATTCCAAAAATTTCTGGGTCGTCTATCAAAGGCAGATTTTCAATGTAGTCCTTAAACTCTTGTAGGCTGTCAGCCAGGGGTGCAAAGTAGATGCCTGTTAGAACAACACAGAAGATAAACATCTCAAATGGACTGGTTCGGAACTGCCAGGTTTGGTTCTTCGCTGTCTTGTTCAGATGATGGCTGATTCAAGGTGAAAAGAGTCTTTGCTTATCCTAAGTCTTCCTGCTTTTATTGTGCTGTCTAGTTTTGTTTCCTTTTCTTGAGGCCTTAATCAGATTAGTGCTCTAAGCTTTCAGGCTGTCTCCCCTAGAAGGTGTAAGGATTCGGAGAATCCAGTGACACACTCCTGAAAGGTGTGTCTCCTGAAAAGGCTCCAATTTTTTAAAAAATATTTTTATTGTAAAAATAGTGTACAGAGGGGTTACAGTTCCATGAATAAGGTAAGGCTCCAAATTTATGCTCCTTTAGAATATACTTTTTTCATGTTAGATGAATAATAGTCCTCTCCAAATTCTTCAAACTAAAAGCTACATTTGCAGTATATTAAAATCGGTGCTCACTTAGTTTTGCCTAATGGTGAAAGGACATGTGAATCTAGCTTCTTGAAAGTCAATGGTGGGAGATTTGTTGAGCTTATTCTACACTAATCACATCACTCCCTCTCCAGGTATCAACATTCAGGTCTATTCATAATGAGCTGTTATCAATTCATAAATTTGGTTTTAATTCAATTTGCTATCATGGAAGTTTTCCAAGAGATACTATAATATGGCTTCTTTAAAACATATTTAGACACAATACAATCAACTTTAATAAAAAATGCTTGGGTAATAGGCAGTTTTGCTGTCCAACCAGCACTGTAGGTGTTGAGTGTGGGGCCAGGGACTGAGTTGTGAAGACTGGTCACAGAGAGTGTCCAGATGGAAAACTGAAACATGCTACCAGTGGCTTCTTGGGAGATGTCTTTTTCAGAGGCTTGAAAAGTCACTCACCTGAATCAGAGTATTTATAATCCGAATATAATGTTTCAGGAGAAAAAAACCTTTTCAAGACAGTACGAAGGCATCTTTGGTCCCAGGTGTCTGTAACTCTACCACCATAGGTGATTTCACCTGAAAAGGAGTTTGTATGCTCAAATACATTACCATTGGCGTTTTCAATTGATAAGCATACCCCAATTCTAACATGTTATTTGGGCACACATTTATTTTGTACTGAAGCCAAAAAGAGTGCACCAGACCTCCCTTCTGATCTGCCCCACCTCCAAGATGATGAAAGCTGATTTTTAAAAAGTAGACGAAAAAAACTTTAGTTTATGTACTCTAGTCTAATAATTTTACTTTTGCCAAATAACAGCAACAGAAGCCCCTGATCTCCATAGGCACATTTATCCTTCTTGTCTTTTATTTATTTATTTGTTTGTTTGTTGGTTGGTTGGTCGTGGGGCTTGAACTCTGGGCCTGGGCGCTGTCCCTGAGCTCTTCAGCTCAAGGAAAGAACTCTACCACTTGAGCCACAGGGCTACTTCTGGTTTTCTGGTAGTTAACTGGAGATAAGAATCTCACAGATTTTCCTGTCTGGGCTGGCTTTGAACCATGATCCTCAGATCTCAGCCTCCCGAGGAGCTAGCTAGGATTACAGGCATGAACCACGGGCACCTGGCTGTCCTTGTCCTTTTGCTTCAGCATATTGATTTTGAGTCTTATTCTGTCATTGGCTACACGATTCCAGAACATATATACTTTTCTTCAAATGGTGCTTCTCTTTGGGGCCCATGAGTAAAACAGAATGCAATATTTATAGATATGTTAGCCCTCTACACATTTTATAAATTATTGCTACTAAGCTGTATATGGGGGACAGAGCCAAAGTGAAAGAGTGACCTTGTCTCATAGAGATTATGTTTGGAGAATTGAGGTGATCCAGATGAGGCCTCTCCACAGAGAAGCTATTTTCAGAATGTTCCACCCCCACCCCAAATTATGAGTGGGAAAGAACCACTCTGGACTGGTATCTAATGTTGTGAATATTAACTCCTTGGGAAGTTCCAATCATTGCTTTACTGCCTCTCCATGTGTTGTGTGCCTGGAAGGATTTCATGGCATATTGACATTGTCAGGGTAGTTGTTAGGGTTCAATTTTGGGAAGTGCTTAATATATGGACTGGCATATAGCAAGAGTTATATAAGCTTTCCCTATCATTGACATCACCACCACCACCACCACCACCACCACCATCATCATCATCAAAAACATCAGCCCAATTTTCTATATGTAAATATTCTCATGATGTTTCCACCATCTGAAATTCACATAGGGCAGGTGAGAAGTCACTATCACCATCATTAAAGGCTGGGAGCACACTCTCCTCCCAGGGGTCAGGTAAGCATAAATCCCCAACTTTTAGATACCCAGCTGGATGTCCTGGCCAGTAATATAAATTACTGACCAGTAATGTAAATTAGTGCATCCCAGGGAATCTTTCCTTCTTGACAGTAAAGGTTGAGATTCAGTAAAGCACATTCTCTGTCACTGTCATTAAATTCATAGCAGATATTCCAACCAAGGGGGCCAAACTTCTTTCTCTCCTAGAATAGGAAATGAATATAGTTAGAAATAAAAAATAACATTAATTTTGGGTAGAGTAATGAAAAACAAAAGCTTTTATTGGGGCGCTGGTGGCTCACACCTGTAATTCTAGCTACTCAGGAGGCTGAGATCTGAGAATCACAGTTCAAAGCCAGCCCGGGGAAGGAGAGTCCATGAACCTCTCATCTCTAATAAAGCACTAGAAAACCAGAAGTGGTGCTGTGGTTCAAGCGGTAGAGCACTCGCCTTGAGCTGAAGAGCTGAGGGACAGTACTCAGGCCCAGAGTTCAAGCCCCAGGATCGACAAAAAAAAAAAAAAGTTTGGTATATCAATACGTGGTTCAACTTCAGTTAGGCTTTTACCAAACAGGCAGAATACATGTTTCTTTATAGTTCTAGGAGAGAATCTACTGTTACTGCACGTTCAGCAAATCAGTCAAAAGTGAATTTGTTCTTCAAGGTAATAGAAAAATATTTCCACACCAAAACAGTAGCAAGAAGGTTTAGTCTTTTGGCATAAAAATACTGATACTGTAAGCATCTGGAGAGAGCGCTATCCCCTACTGTTGAAGGAGTCTGTCCATGACTTTCAGCCATATCATACATACTATGCTGATTGCACGCCGGCTTCTCCATGGTAACATTAGCTGGTACCCATAATCAGTTTCGCAACATTCCATAGTAAAATTCCTTTTCTCTTTGTTATTTCCCTGTCTCCTTTAATTTCCTAATTCTAAACAAATGATCATGTCATAGGATTCGTCTGAAGTTCCCTCCCTTTTGATCTCAAAGTTTCAATAAACCTTCAACAACCTCCTCATCTCAGTGACTTTTGTTAGTGGAATAAGAGCCCCACACCCAGAGCCCCTGATTCTTATCTTCTTTGACTTCCTCTAGGACCTCTTGATTTATTTTTCCTGTGTCTTGCATCTTTAATCTTTCTTTTTCCTTTCCTTTCTTTCTTTTTCTCTTTTAAGTGAATCTTTCTCTGTAGAGAAAGACAATCTAATCCACATGCCACCTAACCATATGTAGATGGAGAGCCAGGCTTTAATAAAGGCACAGGATGCATAACAAACAGAAAAATGACTCTTGGAAAGCGGGAGACTGGTGTTAGGTTGAAGGTTATCTTTCAGGGGACCAGTGATTCCGTTCTTGGTTGGAAAGGAAGCTGATGAGAGTGGTGAGCTTATTCACAAGAACACGTGGAAACTATTGCAAGGAAAAGGAGGACCCATAAAAACATAAAACATAAAAATAATCCTGGGGCTGGGAAGGTGGCTCAGTGGTAGAGCGCTTGCCTTGCAGGCCTGAGGCCCTGGGTTCGATTCCTCAGCACCACATAAGCAAAAAGAAAAAAGCCGGAAGTGGTGCTGTGGCTCAAGTGGTAGAGCGCTAGCCTTGAGCTGAAGATATCAGGGACAGCGCCCAGGCCCAGAGTTCAGGCCCCATGACCGACCAAAAAAAAAAAAATCCTGAATTTTTGATTGTAGGTAATTGAGAAGATGGGACCACTAATTTTAGAAAGAGATTCTGGAGGGGAAACAAGAGGTAGAAGAGGTAGATTTGGTGTTTGTTAAATTGGACTTCTTGCATTCACCCAGGAGATCGTGTTCTACAGACAGAACAGAATAGAGGTGGGAGTCAAAGTTGTGAGAGACTGAGGCATGGGGAATACAGAGATTGGTGGTTGAGTTAAAACAACTTGGGTTTAAAACCAAAACAACACCCTCCGAGTTTCACAATACCACTTGCAAGTTTTTTTTAAATTAATTTTTAATCATTTACTTGTTTAATATTATACTTTCTTGTTGGTACTAAAAAGCAGAACTGAATATACCTGAATAATTGCATGGAAGAAGCAAATGCCAAATACTATTTGTCTCCATTTTCTTCCAAGTATATTTTCTTCAAAAAATGAAGATGTCATTTCAGTAAATGCTCGCCTGATATTTGCACGTAAGCCTTTTGGAGGTTCATTGGTTACCTGCATTTCAGAGAGCAGAGAGGGCGAGGTCACAGAGTTGCATTAATTCTGAAAAATGCCCAGAGAGGCTGTAGAGAATTGATTCCTATGGAGGCATTGTTGGCATGTATCTGAGTTTTATTCAATCATAGTCCAGGGAGCACAGGACCTGGTGGGATCTTCAGACCTACAATGCTTGAACCACCTGCTTGGAAACCTCAAGTCACTTCTGTTTGCTGTGCAGTTTTCTACATGTGAGTCAAATGGCATATCCAGGTTTTTGTCATTGGATTTTATAGTCACCTTAAAGTAAAGCATTGCCCTGCACTGTATCTCCTGCATGATGTCTCTTGACGTGGGCAGGGAGGGAAGAAGTACCTCTTGTAACCCCTACTGGTAAGTATCCCACATAATGGAAACTTCCTTCACTGAACTCAAGCAGTAACACCTCCTGTGTTCCTTTCTGTCCATCCAATGCTGAGATATTCTTTTTAACATTTCTCTGCTAAAGAACTAGAGAAGTTGAATGACCTAGGGCATGCATGGATAGCACTGACTTCAGGAATCCTTTGTTTGCTTTCTGCTTGGCCACACAGACCAGAACATGGCTCTGTGCAGGATCTGTGCTTTTCTCAGTCCCCTTGGCAAACATTCTGAGATCAGTCATTTCACATTTCAGCCATATGCAATGCCTTACCTTGACAGAATTCTGAAGAACTGTAACAGGAAATGTACTACTAGGCATGGAGCTTAGAAATAGTCGGAAAGTATCCTTGATAACAGACTCTATTTAAAATAAAGAAAAAAAGAAGAAACATGTTCTTGTAGCTTGTAGTAGCACTTTTCTATAAGAAATAATTATTTTAGGAAAGAAAAAAAATGCTGTGAACTCTGTTTAAAGACTTAATTGATTTGCCTCAAGTAAGCTGTAAACCAAACCATCTTAAGATGGGAGTGGAGGAGTTGTTCTAGAAATTTCACAGCAGGGGGATCTGGCAGTTGACAAGCTAGCACATTTGGGTAAAGAAATTAGGGACCCATGAATTTTTTAATACCTGATGAGATGTAAGGCCTTTTCAACGCAGGCTATTTTTATTTATTTTTGCCGGTCCCGGGGCTTGAACTCTGAGGCTGGGCACTGTCCCTGAGCTTCTTCTTTTTTTGGCGCGGGGGGGGGGGGTCTGGTCATGGGGCTGAACTCTGGGCCTGGGCGCTGTCCCTCAGCTCCTCAGCTCAAGGCTAGCACTCTACCACTTGAGCCACAGCGCCACTTCCGGCTTTTTAATTTTTTCTGCTTATGTGGTGCTGAGGAATCGAACCCAGGGCCTCATGTATGCAAGGCAAGCGCTCTACCACTGAGCCACCTTCCCAGACCCCTGAGCTTCTTTTTGCTTGTGGCTAGTGCTCTATCACTTGAGCCACTATCACTGTGCCACTTCCATAACTGAGGATATTTACTGTTAGCTTGTGAGTTATTTTTCCCCTAAACTGTTCACTTTAAGGCAAACTGTATACAAATGCGCAGAAAGCCCTGTGGGAGAAGAGAGGGAGCCCCTGAGTAGAGAAGTTGCAAAGGGACCAGGGCAGGGATAAGGAGAGACTGATGAACAGAACTGGCAAGTCAGGATGCTTCTTTTCTGAGCTGTGGTTAGAGAACAGCATGAGGAACAAAGCTCCACTGTAGGTTCAGGAGGCCAAAGCAATGTTGTGAAATGCACTGTTGCCATCATTTTTTTTTAACAGTAAGTTAAATGCCTTAGGCATCTGCAATGGTGACCTCAACCTGGACTCCTGGCTCAATACTGATGGAAGTTATCTGCTTGACAATCTCGGAAGGACGGTTTTAATCAATGAGTCGCTTGTGGATCCCATGTCTTAGAACTTTCACCACAAGGGTTTTTTTTTTTCTCATAGTGATTCTCAAAGTCTTGGTAGGCATGCACACTGGTCCTTTTACTTTGAGATTCTTCTCCTTGGTGCCTCGGATCAGGTCAGCACAGACCTTCTCCGGAGACTTCATGTTGCGGCTGGTGAGGGTGATCCGAATCCGGTGAATCGCCACCTCCGGCTCCACAGGTGTTTTTTTCCAGTGTCTTTAACAGTGGTGAGCAGCCCGGACAGAGCTCCCCACACACAGTCGCATCTCCCGCAGAAGGCTCTTGCCATCATTTTAAAAGCACATTATGCTGTTTTTCACACATGCCAGTCTGGCTCGTCTGTTGTCTGTGCACGGGCCATTCCCCTGTGCCTGAAATATTCTCTCAGATTCTCTCACTGTCTTTCTGTCTTGGCCAAACATCACCTTCTCAAGGAAGTCCACACAGATCACACCATTTAAAACGATCCTCCTGGGCTGGGAAGGTGGCTCAGTGGTAGAGTGCTTGCCTTGCATGCCTGAGGCCCTGGGTTCGATTCCTCAGCACCACATAAGCAAAAAGAAAAAA